CGGTTCTTTGGTTTCCAGGATTTGAACTGATTTCTTTTTGCAGCTACACGTTTAATTAGGAAACGATCAGAACAACTGTGATGACAAACTGAACACACGGCTTTCTAACATTCTGTTTCTTCCTCAACAGTCACTGGAGCTGAATAATAAACGATCAAAACAGTTAATTTATCATAATTATTATTGGTTTATGAAGGAAAAGCTGCAACTCTATAAGAAACTGAACACTAAAACCTTGATGCAGGACAGATGAGGTTTGTTTTAGCAAAACGTACCTTAAAAACAGATCAGACTGTAAATACGAAGCTCTGACGACCATGCAGGATAGAAAACAGGTTGAAAGCATCCGGCTGATACTCACGCACTTAATTTTCTAAACTAAACATGTTTGACAACGTCCTCAAATCCTGCCGACGGTGTTTAAGCAGAAGCAAAAACACTGAATCAAAAACAGCCTCGTGTCAGAAAGCTAACGATGAATCGATATTGTTCAGGTTCTCTCTTCATGTCTGAACAGAGAACCTGAACAATATATTATCACGGTTCCTTCAGCTGGTTCTGTCTCCAGGTGTCTGTTTGGTCCAAAGATGTTCAGTTTACAGTCACAGAAGAAGGAAAGAAACCAGAAAATATCCACGTTTAAGAAGCAGCAGTCAGAGAATTCAGAAATCACTGAAACCATTTCATTGATTAATTGGCTCTGACGTGCACATGAATCCAAACATGAAGCTCAACCAGAAAGCCCAAACCACTTCTCTACATTCAGATGAAGTTCAACTGAAACAGCCTGCAGCTCTGAGTCCACCAGCGACTGGATGCGGCGCCGCTGATAACGACCAGGACTTCGTTATCACGCTCTCCTGCTGTTCTTCAGTGTTGGTGGTAGCTGCTGCTAAACAGCCACGATGAATTACATCTGCTTCCACCACCAGCTAGACTTCCTACACCAGAGGAGCTGCAGACGTCTGTTTTACTGTCAAACCAGCCGAAGCCCAATCTGCTGAAGGCTTGGTGTGCCAGCTCCAGCTTTAGGAAACGTCCCCGTGACTGTAGGAGTGAATCAGCATCAAGTCACCAAATCCAGTCCACACAACCCGAAGAAAAGTGAAACGAGCCTCCAACAAACTTCATCAACAAATATATGGGCCACGTTCACACGTAGCCGGTATTCACCAAAACGGATCCACGTTTTCATAAATAACCCGGTTCTCACCACAAACCCGCATCAACACGTGGTTCAGAGCTGCTATGAGCTGCCAGACCTACAGGGGGCAGTGTAACAAGAAGCATAAAGCCATGCTAGCCAATCAGAATCCTGGAAAAACCACAACAACGAACACTTCCTGTTCCTTCAACGATAGTGGGGTGGTTAGTTTGGACCGCCGGAGACGTGGAGCTGCTCCGACATGTGCTGTCAGAGACACAACAAGCAAACGCTGGAAACATGTCAGTCCTTATATGGTAAACATGGTCGCACACGTATGACGCTTTAGTCGCTCACTGTGACGTCAGACTCCGCCTCCTCCCGTCTGCATGCAGACGTACAGACGGAGTTTTCAGATGTGATGGTTTTCGGCGACTCGTAGCTTCGTCTACGTGTCAACCAAAGACTCGTGGAGGTGTCAGCGTCCAGGACGTTAACCACGTCTAAAGATTCACGGCAACAACAATCAGTGTTGGCATGAAGCAAACTGTGTTCTCCCACCACTGAGGAGTCCTGGTCAGATCCAGTGAAAAGTAAATGATCCAACTGACAGAGAAACTCCTCAAACATCTGATGTGTTCGTTCAGGTTCTTCCTACACCAAAAAACAACACAAGACCTCAGAAGATAACGGACGTCTGCATCCAGCATCAGAGCATCCAACACATCAGAACCTGAACAAGTCTGTGAGCCGTCCAGCCTGCAGGTATCTGCAGGCAGAGGAACAAGAGGACAGGATCACCTCACCGTTGGTCAGCCAGAGGCAGGTCTGTGGAGCAGACGGAGACAAACGCAGCAAAGAGAACGTGTTTGAAGTTTCAGAAAACGAGTCCAGACTGAAGCTTCTGAAGCCGATGAAGGACAGACGTGAAGAACGGAGCTCTGGGCTTCTCCTCCACATTAATGAAGAATTAATCAGAAATACAGAAGGAGATGCTGTCATGTGTTAGAAACAGAACGCTGCAGGAACTCACTGCAAACGTTTCCTGTGTGATGTTCTCTCAGTCGTCTGACATGTTCAACGACACCAGGTCCAGTTTCTGTCCATTACAGCTGCTGCTCTGACCAAACCAGTTAAACCTTCATGTCTCCTGTGAAGATCGCTGGTTCAGGGAGGTTCACGCGCTACTGTTACACCATCAATCATTTCAACTGTTGCTCTGTTTCTTTATTTATCTTTAGCCTCTAGGAGGCGCTCTGCATTCTGGGTGATTAGTTTAGACTGTTGGACTGTTGATGTCATGTAAATACACAGAGTAAGAGATAAACCTGCTCCTCACAGTCTGACATCCGATCAGTCATCAGGATACCACTGCTACTGCTACTGCTACCACTACTGCTACCGCTACTGCTACTGCTACCACTACTGCTACCACTACCGCTACTACTACCGCTACTACTAC